CTCTCCCCCTCTCTCGTTATTTTTTTAATCGGCCGCGCCCAGCCCTTCGCCACCATCCGGCTGCCGTGCCTCGTCAGGCCATCGTCGCGCGTCCAGGCCGTAGGAGCACCTCCCCAGGCCTCAGTTCGCGCCTCCCCGACGCCACCCGATACCCAGCAGTCGCACAAGAGACGCCCGGCGCCCCGCGAGACCACCAGCGCACCCGCAGGCCGTCCCCCCGTGCATCCGTGATCTCCCTCGGCCCGTCTACCTCTCTCTCGTGCGATTTATCCCGAGAACGGTACAAGGCTGTTACTCCATATTATTTTAGTGTATATATGCTTTGAGATGATGCCTTGTTGGGAGATCTCATGTTAAAGCTTGCTATATGATCGATTTTATTCGTATTTTATTTGTTTATGTCATTCGATTGTGATTTTGTGTTAAATCGTGTTAATCGCTGTGGATCTATGGAACACTTGAAGTCTTTGGCCTGATGATGAAGGCCTTAGACGAAATTATTGATTGATTTAATTGTTGTGCATTTTTGAATCGTATTGTATTGCTGGATCTTCAAAAAATCATTTAAATTTTTATACTCGTCCGATTGCTGCGAAATTTGACCTGTATAACCCTCTAATGATGTCATAGCTCGTGTAAAAATTTCACAATTTTCGGAGGTCTGTAGCTATTTTTTTAAAAATTATTGTAATTTCTTGTCAGATTCATATTTAATTTATAATAAATTGAGTTGTGCTCTAAACTTTATGAAATTTTAGTATGTTGTCTTTCTATATGATTATGATGTTGTGTAAAATTTTTATAATTTTTAGACTGAGATTGATAGGGTAAATAATCTATTTAATGTTTTTGCAGAAAGACGTTTTTAATTATGATAAATCGGTCCTTTGCTAAATAATTCTGATATTTGGCTGAGAAGCTAGTTTTATGTGGAGTGTCATGTTGTAAAAAGATTAGAATTTTTAGAGCTCAAATTGGTTCGATTTTAATTAAAATTTGATAAACTGCTGAATCTTGTATGAATTTTCATAATTTGTGTATTTGATGTTAATTGCTGGAATTTGTATATGTTGATCCCTAGTTGCTGAACTTGCACTGGTAAAAATCTCATGTGTTAATTCGTTCGTTGGGTTAGGCTTTGAATTGTATGCTCGTTTTTGCTGATACCGTATTTGAATTTTTTAAAATCGTGTACTTTGAATTTGAGGCTGAAACTTGGTGATTTTTCTAAATATTGGGGAGTGTATTTTTGGTTAAAATTGCAAAGTCTAGTTCAT